TCCACCCACCACTGTCCTCCCTCTCACACTGACCAGAGGGCCGCTCCGGGAGGAGCTCGGGGCTTACGTGGGAACAGGACAGCAGCTCCTTCATGACGTAGGTGTCGTAGATCTGCCGGCTCCTGCACAGGCGGTCCTCCTCGTTGTCCAGCTTCTCGTACTCTTTGATCTGCATGTTGAAGAGTGGTCACGTTAGGAGAGGCTCCTGGACACCTTATCTAACGACATTACCAGCCCGGCAGGGACCCCCTGGGTTCCAGCCAAAGACTGCCCCTCGCCTCACAGGAGACCTCTTCTAAAGTCGGAGGGAGGGAGCTGGGACAGTCTGAACTCAGCCCGAAACACACACAGCGGTTTCTGCTCCACCGTGGACGGACCTCATCGTTGACATGTAGGAGCTCATGCTATCAGGAAATGAGCACGGCCAGCTTACAATGACCACGTGGAACAAAAGCCACCGCCGGCCAGCCTTGCCAAGTCTCAGCCTGAGCACAAACAATTCGACTGTGGCTGAAGTTCAGTTCTAGGAGCTGCGAAGGGGTTGGTTCTCACTGGGCTGCAGTAGTCCACAACCAACAGGGCGAAAGAAATATATCCCCAGGTTCCTACGTAGAGATTCCTGAAAATCAACTAAGCAAATATTTTAGAAAGGAATTAACCCCCAGATAAGAGCACTGGTTTTCAGCACTATAAAAATATTAACGGAAAGACCACCCCAAACACTGTGTTAGGAAAGGGGACCTGGCTGGTGCCCGGGCAGGCTAGACGGTAAAGCTGGCTTTAAAAACAGTTCCCTCCTGCGGAAGGGGTTCCGATGCTCTATCCTGATAACAGAAGGTCCTACAGACTTGTCCCATTTACTTTATTGGCAGGGATACTTTGAATGCAAAGGACAAGAATGGAACCTCGATGGGATGGAGCTGGGAGAACAGCTGGAGCCAAGACCTTCAGCTCAGGGTGCCTGGCACCAAGGCTGACTTTGGGGAAAGGTGTCCCAAGGGCTGGCCGGCCAGCCTCACATGGCCTTCCCCAGGACCTGAGCACTTTAGTGCTGGGATGCTACGAGGTGGGCTAGCGACTCCTGTGGGCGAGTACAAACGGAATAGAAGTCACTGATCCTTGTGCTCTGCAGATGGGTCCGACAGCCCTGAGATCAAGACCAGTGAGCCCTCCAGGAATTCCAGATACGGACAAGGCTCAGTTCCGGGAGGAGGGGATCAGGGGATGGGATGTGAGCCACTGAGATCCCGCATGATAGCCAGCCGGTCCACACACCGAGAAATTACTGGGATCGTCCCAATGTCCAGAGAGGCCCTCAGTGACACTGATGGCTGCAGTTTACACTTGGGTGGCCGCCAAGTGTATTTATTTCACACCTTGGAGCAGACAGGAGCCCTGAGGTAGAGGCAGGGAGTCTGGTGGGCCAAGCCCCGTCTAGGACTCTGCAGGTGACAGCAGCCCCAGGGCGTGGGCACCACCAGAGGACCCGGGAGCACAGGCATACATACGGCCGCGCACAGCATGCCAGCTGCAAACTCGCCAGCCACCGGACGGCAGCTGGTGCCAGCTCCCCAGCTAAGTGAGAAAGTAGAGGCCTTGGGTCGTCGACACTCTGGTGGTTTTGCTTCTTGCAGGCCCAGGTTCCCTCCAGGATGCCCGATTGCCAAGGCAGCCTACGCTGAACCAAGGCAGAGGGCTCTGCCCTGACATACGGTCAGCCTCAGGGAGAACAGGCCTCCTGGAGGTATCATCTGTGAGCATCTGTGTGATGAATGCCAGTCCCCGATCCAGAGGCACCGGGCTGAGCGAGGAGACCCAGCCAGGGGGTCGCCGTCAGGTCCTGACTGTATGGACCACTCAGGTTCCCTGGGCAGACCGCGCAACAGAGGGGGAGCCCAGCCCCACTCAGAATCCATCCTCTACTATCAGCATGGCCACGGGTTACAGGGCAGCCAGCCAACCGCCAGGGAGTGTGGACCAGGATGTCCTTGGTCCCCACAAGTGCACAGCAGATGCTCGCTGGGGTTCACAGGCTTCTTTCCAGGTGTCTGAGCAGGCGGGGGCTACCTTGCAGGTGGACCGTCTCCCTGTCGCAGGAGGCCGCCATTGGGATACAACATAGGGACTGCGTGGTTCCTTTGCGGTTCCTCGGTGCTCGGTGGGCACACAGCTCACAGCCGAGCCTGCAGCCGAGACCACCAGGGCCCTGAGAACCAGTCCTCCATCTGCAGCAGCCAGGGGTTGTGCATGGCCCTATCCATTTCTCCCACGCCCCCAGGGAGGTGGATGAGAGGGATCGTCTGGATCTCTCCTCTGCCCAGTCCCAGGCTCGCTGTTCTGTCCTGGCCTTGGCCAGCTTCTCAACAGCACTGACCTGGCCACCTGTGAACTCTGCTTCTCCGACTGCTGAGAGCGCTCCCTCCAGGGGAGGCCCAGATCCTCAGCTGGTGAAGGGGCACTCTTTGCTGGCGCTTCCTCCTCTGCTTGGCTTCCGCACCCCATAGGGCCTCAGAGTGCCCCCCAGGCACCCCTTTCTCCCCAGCTCCATCCTTCCTGGGAAAGCCCCTTGGTCCTACCGGTTCGGTCACCAGCTATGCTCTGGTGACACTCTAGACCTCGAGCTCCAGGTTCTAAGTATCCAGCCTACGTTTGACATTTCCAGGTGACTATCTAGACAGCATCTCCAAGGTCACAAGCCTACGCTCTACAGCCCGATCCCACAGCCTCTGTTCTGCAGCCAGACACGTTCCTCCTGCGGTTTTCTTGAGCTCAAAAATGAATCCAAGCCGTCCTGCCCTTGATTACCCCAAAATGAAGGGCCATCCCAGTTCCACTGTTTGGCCCCCACTCGGGTCACCATCGCCCTCTTCAGCCAACTCATCGACTAACCATGTCGGCTTTGTATCCAAAGTGCATCACAAAGGACAGTGAAAATGCGGGACACACAGAAGGACATGGAGAAGGCCCCAAAGCACAGGGGAGTGGAGGAGGGGCCCCGGAAAGAAGCTGCAGAGAGGACACGACTGAAAACAGAAGGTCTCGGGGGCAGCTCCAAAGCCCTGTGCGCTCATACCGTCCAAATCTGCCACAGGCCCCAAATGACACGCGAGCACGTGAGCAGACCCTGAGCCGCCATACACAGGCTGGGGGACTGAGCAACACGGGGCCACCACCCACTGCAGGGGGACGGAGCGGGGGGGGGGCAACTGAGCCAACCCTGTGCAGGGGCACGGCATAGTTCAGGTGTCACCAGCCACCATGCTAGGCACAATCCAGAATCACTCTGTGAGGAATCAGGAAATGCCCCCCCCCACACACAGGCAAGAAGAGAGCCCGCTAGCGGGAACCAATCCAAGGAGACCCAAATGCTGAACGATCAGACGGGGATTTTAAAGCCACTATTGTACCTGGACATGACAGAAACCACTCGTGTAATGAAGAAAAAGATAGGAAGTAGCAGAGGAAGAAAGAACACTTCTAGAAAGAACCAAGTAGAAATTTCAGAAGTAAAAAATACAGCATCCAAAATAAAACACGGAGGGGATGACATCATAGCAGGCTAGAGATCGCAAAAGAGAGTGTTCGTGAATTTGAGGGCAGAGCCACAGAGATTATGTCACCTGAAAAAGAGAACGAGAAAATATTGGGGAAAAATTAAGCAGAGCATCAGAGATATATGGGAGGAATACTCAAAGACCAAACATACATGTAACTGAGTCCCAGGAGGAGAGAGGAGGGGAGAGGCAGGAAATGCTGTAAGAAATAATCATACTGATTTTCCTAGATTTGGTGAAAGATAAATTTACGGGTTGAAGAAGCTCAGCAAATCCTTTGAAAGACACACATTGCATCTAAAATCATTCTATTACAAAATGGAAATTGTCAGAACGAGGGGAGAAATGGTCCATCCTATCTACAGGAAACGCACTTTATATATCAAAACGCAGGCTGAGGGTGGACGGCTCGGGATGGACCCATCATAAAGACACAGGCATGAAAGGCTGACCTGGCTCCATTGCCCAGGGAAGCCGACCCAAGTCCCAAGATGTCACCAGCAGGGAGGAGGTGAGACTGGGGGGGAGCTGTGTTCGCCGAGCTTGCGCCCTGGCAGGGCGTCGGCTCTCCACAGAGACGTGCCTCTCAGACCTGAGCGTGCAGCTTGGAACAGGGCTTACAGCTACAGGAAAATGCCCCAAGAAGAGAAGGACTAGAATGTTCTATAATTGGAACTGAAGATGTGTGTACCTTTCTTGTCAATTACCAGGACAATCAGATGTAAGGCTCACCAGGAGGCAGACGGCGTCACACATTGGTCACCTTGACCCTTGACCCCGTTGGTAGTTACTGAACATCACCCCTAACGCTCCTGTTTAACCTTTTCCCAGGCTGTAGAATAAAACCTGAATGTATGCTCCAGTCTCCCAAAACCCTGTCTCTCTCTTTGTTATGGTTGGATATGAAATGTCCCCATGGGCTCATGTACTGAATACTTGGTCCCCAAGCCAGCCATGTGCAGAGGTGGCCTTGGGGGAAGTGATAGGTCAGGAGGGCTCTGGATTAATCCACTGAGGGAGCCATCATTTCATGGCATTACTGGGAGGTGGTGTAAACTCTAGGGGGGGAAACTGGGTGGAGAAAACGGGTCACTGGGGCATCCCATGGAAGGGTGTACATTGTCCCCAGCCCCTTCTCTCACTCTCTCTGCTCCCCAGCCACCACCAGGGGATCAGATTTGCTGCACCATGGACTTCCTACCCCAATGCTCTGCTTCACCATAAGCTCACAGTGATGGGGACAAGCGACTGTGGACTGTGACCTCTGGAACCATGAGCCAAAATAAACCTTTCCTCCTTTGTTTTTCTCAGGTATTTTGTCACGGCAACACAATGCTGACTGACATATTCTTCTGCCTAGTTTCAAGCCACATGCCTGGCTTCCGTCTTCACTGACAACCACACTGCAGTTCTTCCAGCAGCCCAGTTCCTGCCCACCACGGGGAGGGCGCTGACTTAGCCAGGACCCTAACCTACAGTGCTCTCCTCCTCCCACTTCAGGGCCAGCCTCTTGGTCGCTCACCTTCTTTGACTCATCCATCTAACACGGCCACCAAGCCATAGGCCAGCTCTGGGCTCTGAGTCTGCTTTCAAGAGTAAGCTCACAGGGAGCACG